TATATATATATATTAATTTGATAATTTTAAAATATGTTTTGTCAAAGTAATAATTAAAAATAAAGAAGAGTGTATTAACACAAAGAAAAAAAAAAAGTGGTATACATGTATCCTTTGACGACAGTTTTAGTGTAACTAATACTTTGATAATATATTTTTTTTAACAAAAGCTAACAAAACCTTAACAAAAAAAATTTAAACAAAAGTAAAGTGTCGTATAGTTGAATATGTCAATAGAGATTAAATCAAAAGCCGTATTTTTAAATACAATTTGCTTGGTATACATCGTGCTTACGAAAAACAACTTACTCCTTTAGCATATTCTATAAATAATGTGTAATTTTTTCTACACTATTAATTAATTGATTTTTAAAAATAATTTATTATAAAAATGAATATATACATATATATATATATATATATATCAATTACGTATTAATAATTCATAATTAAATGTCATTATTTCTTCCCAATTAAATCCTTCCAGATAACCTAGTACAGTATACTATACTTTGAAAAAAAATTACTAAAGTGTATTTAGATGAGAAATTTTAAAAATTCAAGTTCTATCGGTTTAAATTTATTTTATTTGTTAATTTTTTATTTAAATAAATTAATTCAAATACTAATTTAAATTATTATGTAGAGTATTAGATTATGATTTAAAAAAAATTTAAAATACTTTTTTTATTATATAAAAGTCTTGTCATATTCAATCAAAAAATTTTGTTAATATAAAAAAGATTTACGTGACATTCAATTAAGACAATTAAATTTTTTTTAAAGTATGTTAAAATTTGATGATATTTAATTAAAATTATCATAATTTTTTTAAAAGTACATCAAAATTTAATAGCATTCAATTAAGACTTTTTTAACTTAAAAAAATTGTTGATATTCAAAAACATAAATATTTTAATAAGTTATTTTAAATGATGAATTTTATAAGACTTTTTTAACAAAATTTGCATATAATTCACTTATCCAACAATCTTATAAACTTTTGAGATTTTGCATGATCTTTTTTCCTTCTATTTTTTTTATTTTATCTTTTTCTCTCATTAATCTTCTCTCTCATCTTTCTTGCTTCTTTCTTTCTCTCTCTTTCTCTTCTCTTTTTTATCTCATATCTTCCATTTGTCTTTTCTATCCATCTCTCTCATTTATCTCTTCTTCCTCTTATTCTTAATATTAATGTATAATTTTTAAAATTTTTAATTATTAATTATTTAAAATTAATTTTAAATTATTAAATATTATCTAATGTTGAAATTTCAAAATTATTAAAACTTAACTAATGTTTATTTTCAACAAATTTAATATTCAAATATCGAAATTTTAAACATATGTTACAAAATATTTTTTGTACATGGTGAAAGTATAATATTTAAAATTCAAGAAATTCATATTAAGTTATCCAATAAAAAAAATTAAATTTCAAGCATCTAAACTTTTAAGAGAAATTTTGAGGTTATTAATAAAATTAGTTTGTGAAATATACCTTTGAATAAATAAAAATAAAATCTTGAGTGTGTGTGATTACGAGAGTGAGAGTTAATTTAATTATATGTAATATCAACTTGAATATATATATATATATATATATATATATATATATATATAACCTGTATTTTTTTTTAATAATTATACATATAATTTTAAAAGGAAAAATAAATAAATCATCATACCAAATTGGCCTAGTATTTTTCTAGTTTAACTTTTACTAGTCTAACCTAATTTGATTGACTCATTAGATTGAGACAAATCGACCTAATCTTTTTTAGCTTAAAAATAAATAATTCAACTTGACTTAACCTAACATGCTCATGAACTAGCCCAACACTCTATGTCAATTTTTACAATTTTACCAATTGATGAATATCATAAATTTAAACATATTGTTCAAATTCAATAGCATGAATGAGAAAATACCAATGCATGGAGGATTATAATCAAATGCTTATTAAAAAGATTGTATTGTTTTTTTATTCAAATGTTATTATTTATGTTATTTTTTTATTAATTATATTATTAAAAAAATTGTACTTAAAATCTCATAAAATCCTTTGAAGTCTTATGATATAAATTCATATTACATATTCTTGATTATAAAAGTCTTTTTAAAAAAAATCTGAAAATTCAAATTATTTTAAAAAAAATATTAAAAGTTATTATATTTTTACAAAGTCTTTTAAATTTTACGAGATTCTTTCATACTAAAATAGTCTTATGAAATCTCAATTCAATACACTTTCCTTAATTTGAATAAGATAATTTAATTTTTACCATATAAA